GTCCAGAGCCTGGTGGGGCCCAGCTAACTGGCTGCTGGCATTGTTTCCCCAAAGTGGGAGATGCCAATCAGGCCTAGGGGAATTCATACAGGACTTACGGGTCCCCACCAGCTCAAACTTCAACTCCTCCTTGGCCAGCTCTTACCTCTGGCAAGGGAGAGGCAGGCCTCAAGTTGGGAACCAGAGAGCCGAAGACCTCAGGAGCATCTTGACTCCTTCCCAGGAAGCCTGGAAGGGGCTCCCTGTCTTCTAGGCAGCAGTGGTGGGCCCCGTGCCTGTCCTGGGCCGTGTGTAAAGGCTGGGGGAGGAGGACGTGGGAGGAGCACTGCCGAGCCCTCCAGGGGCTTACAGTCAGGCTAGGCGGGTGGGCCCATTGTAATCACGAGAGGCAGGAAGCTCAGAGTCAGAGAGATTGGAAGGTGCTGTGCTGCTGGCTTTGAAGGAGGATGGGGCCACGGCCAAGGAAAGTGGGCAGCCTCTAGAAGCTGGAAGAAGAAAAATTCTCCCTAGACCCACAGAAGGAACACAGCCCTACTGACACCTGGACTTTGGGCTTCTGACCCCCGGACCATGAGAGAATACGTTTGGGTTAAGCCACTAAGTCTGTGGTTATTTGTTGCAGCAGCTACAGCAAACCCACACGGGGGTGTGGCACCAGCTCTTCTCCCAGGTCTTAGCCAGCCCTGCTGTTCTAGAAAGAAAAGAAGCAATACGCAGTGATGCAAATGATTAAGGGGCAGAGGTGGGAGCTTTCTGAGGTCATGGGGTCACAGAGGAGTCCTTGTCTGGGACTTTCCATCTGTATTTTCTCCAGGAAACATTTGACTGCCGGGCCTGGGGCTGCTGGGGGGCCTGAGAGGTGAGCAGGAGAAACAGGAGAATGTGCGTCCGAAGCAGAGCTGTAGCGCCCCTCTGGGCTGCTGTCCGCCGCTGCCTCCCTTCACCAGGAGGCTTCAGAGCCCAGGGGTCACAAGCTTAGCCTGGAGACCGGAGCCCGGGCACTGCTTCTCCACTGTGCTGAGCTGTCACATGAGTCTCTGGACAGGTCCCCCCACCTCTCCGAGCCTCAGTTTTCTCTTCGGTAAAATGCAGACAATTGGTAGGACTTAGCTGTAGGGCCCAACTGGATGCCATGTGTGTGAAGAGCTCAGCACAGGGCCAGGCACACAGGTGTATCCCTGCGTGTGTCCGGGTGGGCAGGCATGTGTGTACAGGTGCTTGTGGACAGTTGTGCATGTGCAGGTCTGCGTGTGCCAGGACCTGTGTGCAGATACGTATGCAGTCTGGATGAGTATTCTGAAATTCACCTTTGACCTGTCACTGCCCGGCTCACAGCTCCCTGTTGGCCCAGGGAGAAGTTCACCTCTTCACCATGGCCTCCAGGACCCAGCACCATCTAGCACCTGCAGCCTCTCCACCTCCCCAACTGCCCAGCTTGCACCCTAAGATCCAGCCCTGCCTGCTTCCACTCCATTCCTTAGGTGGGTCACATTCCCGTGGGAGTCCAGGCCTTCGCCCTTGCTCTTCCCTCTGTCTGGAACACTTTTCCCTTTTCCTCCTCACTGACTAGCTCCTACTCAGTCTTTGGGTCTTGGAAAGGTTACCTCCTCCAGGGAGCCTTCCCTGACTGCTACCCCCACTGGGATGATTACCCTTTGACCTCAGAGCAACTCCCTCCCATGTGCTCCCCTGGTCTCAGCACTAACCGCAGGGTAGGATAATCGCTTGTGAGCGTCGTTCCTCCTTCTGAGGTCCTGTTCTGAGGGCAGAAACCTAGACTGCCTTGTTCTCCCCTGTCACCAGCACCCAGCATGGGGTCTAGCCCAGAGCAGGTGCTCAGAACTTTGTGGAATGAATGAATGAACGAGTGAATGCACAGGTGTGGGTACATGAGCAAGGCTGCGATCACACGCGTGTGCACGTGCGTGCTTGCTCGATGCAGGAGGGGTGTATAGCCCGTATGTTCCTGCAGGTAGTGATGGGGGACAGTGGTGGAGTCAAGACTGTGCCCCGGAGGGCGGCTGGAGCAGGGGGAGGCCAGAGCGCTCCACTCTCCACTCTGGTCCCCTCTCCCCTGCGCAGACTGGGGACTCAGGGAGGCTGCTTTACTGTTGGAGGGGGAGGAGAGAGTGGGAGAAGGAAGGAGGATGCCTGCAGCCTTCAGCGCTGACACATTCTGCTCCTTCCTTCCTCCCTGACCTCCCCATGACCTCCATCCTCCAGCCTGGGCTCCTCCACTGAATGGGGGAAGGGGCAGAGACCGCCCAGTGTCCCCAGGGGACACCAAGCCAGGCACTACTTCTCCAGGCAGCCCCCCCCCCCGCACCCCCCCAGCTCTGGCCGGGGTCCTGGGTCCTGTGGAGGACCTGATCAGGCCAGGAGGAGGGCAAGCTGGGGTGCGGTGGCCGGGTGAGGGGTGGCCTGGCCCCTCCCTCAACCGTGGGTGAGGCAGGTCATGCCACCTCTCTGACTTTTAATCCTGTCATCTGTAAAATGGTACCACAGCACTCCCTTGCAGTGTTGTAGCAATTAATAAGATCATGTTTATAGAAGGTTTGACACAGTGTCTGGGGATGGAGAATGCTCGTGAGTATAATTTTTTTTTTTTTTTTTTTTGCGGCACACGGGCCTCTCACTGTTGTGGCCTCTCCCGTTGCAGAGCACAGGCTCCGGACACACAGGCTCAGCGGCCATGGCTCACGGGCCCAGCCGCTCCACGGCATGTGGGATCTTCCCGGACCGGGGCACGAACCTGTGTCCCCTGCATCGGCAGGCGGACTCTCAACCACTGCACCACCAGGGAAGCCCTTGTGAGTATAATTTTGTCAATATCGTCATCGCCCCCCCTCCTCCCCAGTAGCCATCCTGCCCTGAGAACCATGCAGGTTTGGCCTCAGTGCACCCTGGGACCGTAAGACAGCTCTGTCTTGCTCTTACTTTTGTCCCCAGCCTCTTGCACAGTGTCTGGCACTGAGCAATTGCTCAAAAAATGTACATTAAATGAATGAACCAGCAGAATCATGTGGATTTCAAGCACTTCCTCTCTCCAGGCCTCCGTGTCCTCGTGTGTAAAACTGTGTGTCCACAAACTAAGAATCTCTGAGGTTCCTCCCAGCTTGAAATCAGGACTGGATTTTTTTTTTCATTTTTATCGGGGTGTAGTTAATTTAAAATGTGGTGTCAGTTTCAGGTGAGGACTGGATATTATTGTCGCTGCTGTGCTGAGTTTTGCGTCTTTTTTTTTTTTTTTTTTTTTAATATTCATGCCAGCTAACACAACCCCAGGTCATCTCCCCCGGACACACTGCCGACCTCCCTTGACCCCATTCTCCATCATGGAGAGCTGGTGCAGGGGTCTCAAAACACAGATGTCTGCCACAGAAAGACAAGAGTCTAACGTGCTCACAGGGCCCCACATGTCCTAGCCCTTGGGAGTTTTTCCAGCCTCATCTGAAGCCTCCACCAGCTCCACTCCACAGGCCTTCTCTCTGCCCCTTCTCCCCGTGGCCCTCCCTGCGGCCCTCCCTGCACAGGTCCTGTGAACGACACATGCTACTCCCTCAAGCTGCCATGCCGTTCCCTCCCTCTTTAGCTAGGCGACTGCCACTCAGTCTTCAGATCTCCACTCTAGGGCCCCGCCCTCTGGGAAGCCCTCCCTAACCTCTCCTGAGACTGGGTCAAACCACCCCATTACTGACTGCCTTTCTCTCCCAGCATCTGTTCTGATCAGAAAGTTCATTGTGTGTGTTTCCCCCACTAGACCACGTGCTCTTGGAGGTCAGCCCTGGTCGGCCTCTCCCTTCCATTGCTACAACACAGCTAAGAGCCTGGCACACAGGAGGTGCTTGACAACGGTGGACCACTGCCAGCATCCCCCGCCACCCCCCGAGTGGGAGTCTCTGAGGGTCTCTGCATAGCACCCTCATGGCCCAGCGTCAGGCGGCCACATGATAATGAGTGTGGGCAGGGTGGAGGTTCATGCTTGTCCTTGGGGGAGTGGAACACCCACAGGGGGAGGATCAGGGCAGTGGCAGGGAGGGGCATGACCTCCGGGTGCACATGCCCAGTCCCTGCCCTCTGCCCTGCATCATAACCTACTCTCAGGGAAAGTCCCGTGTCGTAGCCACAACATTTTGGAATTAATCCCATTCTTTGAGTTTGGCCTCTGCTGGAGAGAGCTCGGTCCTGAGACTTGGGATGAATTCCAGCCCCACCTCTCATTGCTGTGCATCCTTAGGCAGAGCCATATCCCTCTCTGGGCCTCAGTTCCTCATATAGAAAATGGAGACAATAGTAGTCCCTGCTGCAGGGGGTAGGAGTTAGTGAGGTGCTCTGTGCATAGTGCCCAGCTAGGACAGGAGGGTGCTCACTGCAGAACTGGGACACAGGGAGTAAGGGAGGTGCGGTCTTCAGGGGGCACCCCCAAAGCCACTCTGTGGCTGGTCTGCAGCAGGCATGAGGGAAGGTGGTAGAAAGAGCCTGAGTGCTTAGGTGAGCTCAGAGCGCACGTGAGAGAGAGAGAGAGAGAGAGAGAGTGTGTGTGTGTGTGTGTGTGTGTGTGTAACGCTGCTGGAGAACAGACTTCAGAGGAAAGGCGGGAGGGAATGAGCTGGCAAACTTAGTGCTGCAGCAACAGCAGAGCCAGAGGCCCAGAGGCGGGGAGCTGGAGGGAGCTTCCCAAGGCCAATACAGTCAAGGCTGGAGAAGGAGGCGCAGGCCTGGATAGAGGGAGGGGCTTCCCAGACGTGGGAGGGGAGACTGGGCCAGCAGCGGTTTGAAGACTTGCTGGGTTCCTAGTATCCCTAGTGTGGAGGGCTTGCACTCTGCCGCCCAAAGACCCCTGTTTGCATTTGGGCTCTGCTACTCACCAGCTGTGTGACCCTGAGCGAGTCCTTTGCCTCTCAAAGCCTCTGTTTCTTTGGTTGTAAGATGGGTCGATAATAGAATATACCTGTGTATTGGTTTCCCAGGGCTGACATAACAAAGTGCCACAGACCGGATGGCTTAAACAACAGAAATTTATTTTCTTCCATCCTGGAGGCTAGAAACCCATGACCAAGGTATAGACAGAGTTGGTTTCTTCTCCCTCCTTGGCTTGTAGACGGCCATCTTCTTGCTGTGTCTTCATGTGATCCTTCCTCTGTGCATGTCTGTGTCCCAATCTCCTCTTCTTAGAAGGACACCAGTCATATTGGATTAGGGCCCATCCTGATGACCTCATTTTAACTTAATTACCTCTTTAAAGACCCTGTGTCCAAATATAGTCACATCTAAGGTACTGGGGGTTAGGACTTCAACCTACTAATTCCACGGGGAGGGGTTAGGGACATAATTCTGCCCATAACACCTGTTTGGTCTGGGCTCCCTGAAAGCAGGCTAAAATAAAGGCTGAGGTACACGTAGTTTGTTTGGGAGTACAGTTGCAGGGGCAAGAGTGAGGGATGGGGAGAGGGGAGAGGGAAACAGGAGAGGAAAAAGAACCAATACAAATGTGCATTCCTGAGTTCACCATTAAGGCAACCTGGGTGCCCAGGCAGGGCTGTCCGAGATTCCTTATGAAATGCATCTTGGGACCATCTGCCTGGGGGAAGAAAGGGGGAAGGGGGAGGCACCCCATAGCTCCGTCTCCCTTGGATCAAGGGTTGGCCTGAATGGTGTTACAGCTGATCTCTGAGTGGGTCCCTGATGGGGAGAGGGACATCCCATATGGGGCATCAGTGAACTTCCAGGGCAGGAAGAGAGATGCAACTCAGGGTGAGGCACTGTTGGCCTGCAGCTGTCTGGCCAGACCCTGCAGGGGCTGTTTATTCACCGCCACTGGGCCTGGATTAAGAGGCAAAGCCAAGACGTTGGAAGTAGCGCAGGAAAGGTATTCGATACAGTCCACGCATTGCAGGACTCAGCTCTGCCCCTGCCCTGCACTGGGCCCGGCCCATGAGAGTCCCCTTAAAGGAGCTGGCCATCCACAGTCCCTGCAAAGACTTGACACAAGCCTGTTACTGAAGCAAACTATTGCCCTCGCAGCTGGATCTGGGGTAGCCGACCCACCCCTGAACAGTAACTCCCGTCTCGGCCTGCTGGTCCCTGGCATGAGGGCTCCAAAGTGGTCAGATGGCAGTCACAGCTTTGAGTTCAGCGGGACCCATTCTGTGCCGGGTGGAGCCCTCCCTCCACTTCCTGTTCCCTCCCTCCACTTCCTGTTCCCTCCCTCCACTTCCTGTTCCCTTCCTCCACTTCCTGTTCCCTCCCTCCAGCTCTCCCACCCCCACCCCCACCCAGTCCCAGGGAACCGGTACCTCTTCTCTGACAAAATCTCAGGCTGCAGGGAGGAGAAGTACGAATCTACACGTGAGGCACTGGAGTGATGGAGGCGGGCACAATCCTATTTCCACAGCTTGTTCCTGGACCGTGTGTCCTAGTTTTGGGGGTCACAGCACCATTGATTAGCTGTGGGTTCTGGACACAGGGTGTCGCATGAGCTGGCTGCCCCAGCGTTCCGTCAGGCCCATTGCTCCAGGGTCAGACCAGTGGCTACCGTGCTTGCACACCCACTGTGCTCTTTCCTTGCCATAAAGTAGGGCCCTTGGTCCAAGGCCCAGGGGGACAGGATCCCATGTCTCCAGATCAAGAATTCTGTAAGGCCTTGGATGTCATCTGCCATGGTGCTCTGAGAGATGGGACGGACTGAATATACATCTCCCTGAAAAGGGAGGCTTGGTCTCACTGTGGAGGCTGGAGTTGCCCTGGATGGCCTCCCAGGGCATCAGCCACCATGGGGTGTGGGCAAAGGGGCAGCTGCTAGGATGACCCACACAGGCCCTTTCTGAGATGACTGGCGGACAAAGCCACCAGTTGAGAGACAGGACAAGGGGACTCTGAACGCTGTAGCCTGGTTTCTGCCTGGGATCCTCAGATCCTTCCTGATAGGCAATGATTCCTCCCAGACTCGGGAAAGGCGGACAGGGCACTGGGTCAGGCACAGCCTCCTGGCCGTGGGACCCCGGGTGGGTCCTGGTCTTCGATCCCTCATCTGGCCTTAGGGGAACTGAGGGACTGAACATGATGCTGGGAGCCAGACCCTTGACGTGGCTGTTGTTAGTCCAGCCGAGGCACAGAGGGGCACCTGGGGGACATCAGTCCTACATTGACTCCCAGTCCAATGCTCCTTCGACCACTCCTCGAGAGAAAGCGTGGGGGTCATGGGGGGAGGGAGAGGATGGGAGAGGCAGGACCTTATGCCCACTCCCCTCCATACTGCCCCGCACACAGTAGGTGCTTCTAAGTGTGTGCTGAATGACTGAATGACTGTCTGGGTGGGTGGATGGATGGACAAACAAACAGGTGGGTGTGGCCTAGCTCCGTTTGTTCCAAATCCCAGCCACCCAGTCCAGCCCTTCCCTCCCCTGCTAACCTCATTCGGTTGCTAGCAGTCTTGAGCTTTCATTTCTGCCGAGTCACTGCTCTCAACCCCGTGATGGGGCTGGGTGTGCCAGGAATCCGGAGGGAAGGAGACAGACAGAACCTTAGAACTTCACCACTAACTCCATTTTCGAGATGAGGAAACTGAGGCAGGGGGAATGTCCTGAGGTTTGTTCAGCCCCAGAACAGCCCACCTCCCCAGCAGCTAAGAGCCCCGCCCCCCGCCTGACTCACCCACCATCATGCAGAAGCCTTAGGACTCCTCTGTCAGATTTGGGTAACTGGTTTGGAGGCGAGGTGGGGCGGAGGGAGTCTGGTCAGCAGATTGGGTTCCCTGAGTCATTCCCAGTCCTCCCGAAGATGTCCTAACACAACCCATGTTGCTCCAAGGAAGCTCCCAGCCCCCCTCTGACCCAGCCTCTGGGCCGCCCGCACCCCTCCCTACCCTCGTGAGTCTCTCCTCTCTTCTCTCTTCTTCCCTGGCCCTTCTCACTCTTCTGCAGGGTCTGGAGCCTAGACCCAGGAGCCCACCTCTGACCCCCACATGTACTGTGGCCTTGGGCAGGCCTCTGCCCCTCTCTGAGCCTCCGTGGCCCAGCTGGGGCGGCTGGCTACCTGAGTCCCGTCTGACCTTTAACTTCCAGGCCTCCTGGCCATTGGAGCTCTGTCCTCCCTTCTCCGTCTGCACACCCCCCTTCTCTCTAGACACCCCCCCATCTCGCCTTCTCCCCGCTCTGCTCTCCTTCCTCCTGCCCACCCTTCTCAGAGAATGCCAAGTCTGCAGCTTTCCCTGACCTTGAGCAGACAGCAGGCTGGGAGCTTTGCAAAGGGGGCAGCTCAGAGCTTTGCAAAGGGGCCTCTGGCAATGAAGCCCTGCTCAGTTGGTCCTGGGGGGCTGCACTGCCCTTGCAACCCCTCCTCACACCCTATGCCACACGCCCTAGTTTACTTTTCTCCATGGCTTTTCTCGTCTTCTCACTAGTTACTTCACTTACATGTTTATCGTTCATGCCCTCGTTAGAAGGTCAGTTCCACGAGGGCAGGGACTTTTGTCTGCTTCATCACTGCTCTGTCCTCCAGGCCAGAACAGTACCTGGCGCACAGTAGGTGCTCAGTGAGTGAGTGAAGATTTCCTCCACTCTCTAATGACCACCGCCATTTATGGGGCACGCGCTTGCGCACACCCATCTACAGCCCTGCGCACCGACGACTATGCCAGCCCCTTTGGGAAGATGGGGAAACTGAGGCTCGGAGAGGAAGAGCCCAAAGGGCAGAACCAGTCCAAGGTCACACAGTGGAAACTGGTAAAGGCCGGATTCGAACCCACGTGTCCAGACCACGGCGCCTGCGCTGTTGGCCCTCCCTCCCAGAAAGGATGGGGGGGCAGGTGCACCGCTGGCCCGCCCAGGGAAAGCCGAGGGGGCGGGGTCAGTCCAGCCCCCAGGTCCTCGGCCACGCCCTTACTTGTGGAACAGAGAAACTGAGGCCCTCCGGTTGCATCGGATACCCTGGAAACCTTCCCAAACTCGAGTCAGTCCGGGAACCGGCCCGCGCTCCCCCCCACCCCCCCGCCCCGGCCCGAGGCGGAGCTTCTCCTGCGCCCACCGGGAGCCGGGGAGGGAGAGAAAAATGAGTTTTCCTGCCGCCCGGTGGCGGTGTCAATTGATCGGGCGCGGGCGGAGGCCGCGCGCCGGGCTGGGGGCCTTGCTCGCAGCTGCAGGAGCACAATTATCGGGAAAAAGCTGGGGCGGCTGCTGCGGTGAAATTAGTTATCGATCCCACGGCGGGGCCGCGGGGCCGCGCTCTGCGCTGAAGGCTGCAGACCCGGGCAGGGGCCGCCGGGCGGGGTGAGGGGCGGAGGGAGATGGGGCGGGCCCTGCCTCCCCTCCCCTCCCCCCCCCCCCCCCCCCCCCCCCCCCCCCGCCGGCCCCCCCCTCCCCCCCCCCCCCCCCCCCCCCGCCCGCCCTGCCTCTGTGCTCTCTCCTCGCCCATTCATCCCGCCGCTGTATCGACCCAAGGCCGACCCCGCGCTGACAGGCGCCCCCCCCACTACAACCCGCTCTCCCCAGCTTGGCCTCGGCCCCCGCGCTGGCCGCCCCGTCCCGTAGGCCTGGCACCCGGAGCCCCACTTGGGCGCGGAGAACGCCCCTAATGTGGGCCCTGCCCCTGGAGAGCCGGAGAGCTGGCCGGGGAGGACCAACCCCTGCTCCCAGTTTTTGGAGCCCTGCTGCCTGGGAAAGTGCGTGACCTCAGCCTCAGTTTCCTCTCCCGTATAAACCCGGGCAGTTCCTACGTCTAGCTTGTTGAGAGGATAAAATGGGAGACTTTATGAGGAGTGCCTGGGCTTGTCGCCCAGAACGAAGCGTGTTGGGGGCTTATTTCACGTTTATACCACCATTTCTTACCAGCGACTCTAGGAGATGTGTCATAACCCCATTTTATAGATGAGTAAACTAAGCTCAGAGAGGGGAGGTGCCCTGTCCGCCCCATACAGCCAGCAAATGGCCCCATGACACTAGAACCCAGCTAACAGAGGGGAGATGGGGGGGTCTTCTCAGTGGGTGCTGACATATCAAAAGGCTGGGGGAGTGGTCAGGGAGGAAGGGGGGGTCAGGTCAGGTTCTCCAGGCCCACTTGGCTCAGGGCAGCTCGCCTCTGCAGCCTCCAGGGAGGAGGGAAAGGGGAGGAGTGGGGGAGGCCTCTCCTTTCCCAGTACTAGGCTGGTCCAGGGGAGGCGGTTCCAGGCTGGAAAGTAGGGGATCTGAGCTCTAATCCTGTCCCTCCACTCACCAGCGTGTGACCTTGGGCAAGTCCCTGTCCCTGTCCCAGGCCTTCAACAAAAAGGGGTTTGGACCTTATGTGCCCCCAGGGAGAGGTTGGCAGGGCCAGATCATGGAGGGCTTTGGAGTGTCCCAGCGAAGGGGAGCACAGAAAGGCTTTGAGCGGGGGGATGACAGGGTCAAGTTCGCCCCCACAGCTGGAGTCCTGGCTCCGCTCGTGGTCTCTCTGAGCCTCAGTTTCCTCCCCAGTGAAATGGAGATAATGATCTCCACCGCTGTACGGGCTGTGGGCTTTGGACTGGGTCAGCCCTGGGTTCAAGTCTTCCCTTAAAGCTGTGGGCCCTTGGGTGCTACCAACAAGTGGCTCAATCATAGGGGCATAGAAACTTGGGGTCTCCGTGCTCCCTCTCCCAAGATTTCCTGGCTCCCCAAATGGGACTCCAGAGGTGGTGCTGAAGGGGAGGTGGGCCCTCCGCTGGCCACAGGGGCCCTGGCCTGAGGCTGAGGAGAGGCAGGGCCGGAGCGCTGGAGGCTGACGGGCTGTTCCTGCCTTTTCTCCCTGTGGGTGGCAGGGACCCCGGAAAAGGGGTCCTGAGCTGAGGGGACGAACTGCCCCCTTGCTGGCTGTGAGGGCAAATAGAAACTTACGGGGGCCTGCGGGGGGCCTTAGGTTCTGTAAAAATTGACCTTCATCTGCTCTGGGGAGCTGGATATGTGCTATTATTTTTATTTGGTTGCTGTTTAGTTATACAAGTGGGTTCACTTTGTGAAAATTCTTACAGCTGAACACCTAGCATGTAACTGAGGCCCAGAGAAAATCAGTACCCTGGCCGGGTCCCCCAGCACGAAGACAGGGCCAAGCAAGACCTGCCCTCCTGGCTGCAAGGCCATGGGTTTTCTGTGACACCTCCCTCCCTCCTGCCCCATCTGACATTCCACCTGCCCTCAGTATGTGTATCGGAGGAGAATCAATGGGGAAGGAGGGGAGGAAGAGGAGGGTGGGAGGAAGGAGAAGGAGTAACCATCCTGAAAGCCCCCCTCCCCAGCCACCGGGCCCATCCCAGCCCCACTCACTCACAAGGGACCCCTGGCCACTCCCCAGACTGTCTGTCGCCCTCCTGCCTCTGAGCTGTTGCCCAAGCTGTTTCCCAGTGTTCGGCTCTGCAAACCTCTGGGCACCAGGCGCTGAGCTGGGCTTCAGGGGTGCAGCCGTGACCGAAGGGGCCACAGTCCCTGCCCCCATGGTGCTTTCAGTGTAGCATGAACGTGTTGAACGCCTTTAGTTAGGCTTTTCTAAGCATCCAGATATGTATGAGGACATATCTGCACGTGCATTTTTGTATGTGTGTATTTGTGCCTTGTGTACCCGGGCATGGCTGTGCACGTGTGCATGCATGAATGGCTCCGTATATGCACAAATAGCTGTGTGTGTGTGTGCATGTGTACATTTATGTAAATGTGCGTCTCTGTGCATGTTTGTATGTGCGTCTTGCATGTGCCTGTGTACATCTGCTTGCACTTAGTTTTCAGTGCACATTTGTGTGTGGGGTGAATGTCTCTGTGAATAAGCACATGGAATGGGCACCTCTGTGGATGCACGGAGCTACAGGGATGTGTATGAAATGGTCGTGTGTGCCTGGACATCTGCTCTATGTTTGCATTCTGGGTGCGTAATGTGCGCACGCTGGCATGCATGGGTATGCAGGTGCACGTGGTGCAGGTACTCACCTTTGTGGTTTCATGCCTTCCTTGTGTTTGCATACGCCCATGTGTAATTCCTCTACACACATGCCTGTTAGTGTAGGTAGCTCCTCCCAAGCGCATGCACGTTTCCGAGGTTGCTTACGTTTGTGCCTGGGTCTCTGTTCGTCTCCACGCACGTTTGGAACATACACACAGCACCCTGGGTGTGTGTAACCCCACATTCATTAGGGAGCACAGCACGCTCCCAGGGGGAGGAGGGCACTTGTCGGTCTTTCAGCGGAGTGCAAAAGGACAGAGAGACCGGGGCAGGGCTTGCCTGCTACTTACCTGGTAGAAGATTCTGAAGAGGGAGGTAGAAGCTGGCCAGGACGGCCAGCTGCCCCCTGCACCCGGCTTGGGTCCAGGGAAACGGCCTCCTCCCTGCACCCCCCGGGGCCTCTAGGGCTGGCAGGGGCAAGAGACAGCAGGTGGCCCCGCCGAGCAGGCTGAGTCCTCCCCCGGGCCCCTTGCCAAGAGAGGCTCTCCTGAGCCTCTGAGCTTGGAGAGGCAGGCCGCCGCATGCCACGTCCCTGCTTGGGCCTCTCACACCTGCGCCCCAGCCTGTCTGCTCTGAGCATCCTCGGGCTCCAGTGGCAGCCGTGGGGCCCGGCCCCTCTCGACTCTTGCACCATCCCACCTCCCTGGCTTCAAGGCCCAGGTCAGGGCTGGGCCAGAGCTCTCCTCTCAGGAGCTGGAGGCTCCT